TCATCCGCAAACAAAGAGAAGGAAATGCCGTCTGGGATGTTGCTGAACAAATCATTAATCATAATATTGAATAGAATTGGAGAGAGGCAGCTACCCTGAGGAAGGCCATTCTGTGTCTCGTGAACATTTGAAAAAATAGAGCGAATCTTCAAGCGGAAACGTCTGGTTCCAGACAGAAAGTTGTAGAGATAGAATGCCATATGTCCTCTGATGCCAAGTTGTGCTATTTTGTGTATTAATGCAGGCTTATGGACCATATCAAAAGCGTTTTTGATGTCCAAAAAAAATTGCTAAAGTGTGATGTTTCTTTTTGTATCCTTTCCTTATGTCACTTTCAAGGCGAACTATGTGGTCAATCGCAGAATGATTGTTTCGGAAACCACATTGAAACTTGGAAAGCATATCCTGTTGTTGACTTATAAATGAAAGACGTGATGCAACCATCCTTTCAAGCAGTTTTCCTAAACAACTTGACATTGCGATAGGTCGATAACTTTTCGGGTCGTATCGGGCTTTACCAGGTTTCAATAATGCTACTACTATGCTTTCTTTCCAATCTTCAGGAAAAAGATGTCCGCTGAAGAGCTCGTTGAATGTTTGTAGAATTAAGTGCTTGGAGTGATCTGAAATATGGCGAAAGAAGGAATAATGCAGTTTGTCTGGTCCTGTTGATGTGTTACCAGAAGAGTTTATGGCCTTGTTAAATTCTTGCATCGTGAAAGGAACGTTGTAGTCTTCACTGTTATCAGAGAGAAAAACATTGTGATCGAATACAAATTGCTGATGGGCAGTGTCGATAAACCCGGGACGATATCTTGCGTTGGAGCTTGTGTGGGAGATTGTCTCAGCCAGACAGTTCGCGACGTCGTTCGGCTCGCTCACTGTTTCCCCAGTTCCTGGGAGCTTCAGAATAGGGAAGGTTGCGCTCACACGTTTCCCTGACAACCGTCGAACTAAATCCCAAATCTTAGAAAGTGGTGTTGAAGAAGTGAAAGATGATAAGAAATGTTGCCAGGATTGACGCTTAGCCGTTCTTATAGTACGTTGTGCATTTGCACGTTCTCTATTTCGGATGATTAATGCGTTATCTGTACGGTGTCGTAAATATGCTCGAAAAGCTCGCTTTCTCTTTGCCACAGCTTGTCGGACAGCAGGAGTCCACCATGGTACCGGGTTGGCTTTCCGGCATGGCTTGGTTAATGGGATACAGCGGTTTGCCACTGAGATAATTGTTTCAGTAATGTAAGAAATATTGTCTACTGGATGATCTAGGTGTTCATTGAGCTCAAGTTCACACAACTCAGTAAACTTGATCCAATCCGCCTTATTTAGATTCCACCTAGGTGAAAAAGAAGAGACCCCGGCGACTGGAAAATTAAAACGAAGAGAAATCGGATAATGGTCGCTGTCGTGGATGTCGCCGTCTACCGACCACTGGAACCAAGTGGCTAAGCATGGAGAAGAAATAGATAAGTCGATGGAAGACTCAGTATTATGTGACAAATTGAAATGTGTGGGCTGGTTAAGATTAAGTGTCACCAGCCTATGAATGTCAAGAAAGTCTTCGATTATTTTGCCTCTACCATCCAACAGTTGTTCATCCCACCAAGCTGGACTGTGGGCGTTAACCCGCGCCCTGCTGGGGGGGGGTGTTTGAACATCCCCCCTTGTGGTTTTTCGCGAATATCTCAAAAACGGCGGCGCGGAGCGCCGCCGTTTTTGGTACACCTTATCATACATCAATTTTACACATGTTGTGAAAATTTCAGACCAAGGTCATTCAAGGTCAGGTCACCAGGTCACTTGAAGTGACCTCACCTCATAAAAAGTTTCAATGTCTGTCATAGCTACACCGAGTGACCGATCGCTTTGAAACTTTCAGCGATTGCTAAGAGCAATAGCATGTACAAAATGTATATCTCAGAATTTTGATATCGATGACCTAAGGTCAGGTCAATTTTGCGACCTCCCCATTATAAGTCAATGGGAGAAAATTGAAATGCGCCTCCTTTGGACAACAGACATTATAAACACTCCCAAACACTGAATTACAAGTGGTTTAGACACACTGAACATGAAAATGGTGTCCGTGACCCCTGTTTATGCCCTGAGGTCATCTTAGGTCACGAATGGTATCTAACAGTTTTTCGCAAATAACTTTTGATAGAGGCATGCTAGAGCGATGAAAACGCCTTAGATGTGTTCAGCTCGACGATACGGATCGACTGATATGCAACATGACCCTTTCCGGTCAGGTCATGACCTTGACCTGAGGTCAAATTTTCAAGTTGACCTTTCAAGGTCAAGTTATAGTTCATTCGATGCGTCTTGACGAGAGGAACACGATGCCGGTAAAAGTAAGCTCGTACAAGGCTTATGTCAAAAGTTATTGCAGAAAAACAGTTTTCGAAAAAATCGGCTATTTTTGCAGTTTTTGCCCCCTGCAGGCAAAACCGTTGACGTTAGGTCAAATCTGAGAGAATTACTCAGAAAGGGCGTTAATAGGGCTATCGAATGCGCTTTTCCGCGGCGCTGTAGCTCTATTGGCTCCCGAGTTATGCGTTGGCTTCTTGGAAATTGTCGACATTCGACCTGCAAATCGGCGAAATTTTGCCTTCAATGACCTCTGGTGACCTGACCTTTGACCTGACCAAAAAATTGACCGAAGTGATTTCCTCATTATTTTTGACGCTCTTTCGAACGCCGCCTTCCGCGTATCGCTACGTGGCCCAGGAGCCGAGTTAGAAGGGGGGGTGTTCAAACACCCCCCCCCCCCCAGCAGGGCGTGGAAATCCAGGACCCCCAGCCGGGCGCGGGTTAAAGTCACCGAGAAGAAGAAATGGATGTTCGAATTGCTGAACAAGATGGTTGAGCTGCCGAAGGAGTTCGGAGTTATCGAAATCCGGAGGAATGTAAATACTGCATACGTCTACGTCCCTGCCATTCATATACATCGTACATGCGACGGCTTGTAATTCTGTTTGGATATCAAGTAAACTATGTGTGTAATCATTTTGTATGTAAAGCGCCACACCACCGTGTCGGCGCTCTCCGTAGAGCTCATCGTGTCTGTATAATGTGTAATTAGAAAGTTGAAAATTATACTGGTCGGTTGGTAAAAACCAAGTTTCTTGGAGAGCAATCAGTACCGGAGTAAGTACCGAGAAGAAGTTTTTTATTTCGGCCCACTTAGAAAGCAGGCCACGACAATTCCATTGCAGCATGGTGTGCGGATTCATGATTGTGGACGCGAAGATCTTCCACGGCTGGGCGAGGCCCAGCTCGACGCGCGGTTACGCCCCATCGCCACCCGAATCGGTGGTCGTGGCTGGCGATCTTTAGACTGTTCATCCGTGTGATGGGAGGGTTTTGGGCGAGCGCCACTCGACCTCTGGACTTTTATCCAGCCAGTGGAGCGGCTTGCTCCAACAGACTTCGGCTTCTGCGCAATCTCGGGAGAGACAGCTGGCTGGGAGTCGGGAGGGGACGGCATCTGTTCATCAGGGATTTCAGACGTCTGAGTCGTGCTCGTGGTGGCGATCGGTTCGGGGCTCAGAGGCCGCAGCAGCTCCAGAGGAGGTAGCGCGGCGATCGGCTCAGTCTGTGTGCTGGAAGAGGTTGTCTGGGTGCTGGCAGCCTTAGCGTAAGACCTACCGGGTGTTGGTGTTGTGGTTTGGGCTTCCACGCGACGGCGGGCCTCGGGGTAAGAGATGTCAGCTTTGGCTTTGAGTTCACAGATGCTTTTTTCTTTTTTCCAGGTCGGGCACTGAGAGGATGAGACGGTGTGGTCTGGGCTTCCGCAGTTGAGGCACGAGACAGGGGAAGTGCAGGGAGAACCCTCGTGAGGAGCCTCACCACACTTGGGGCAGCGAGCAGTCTGCCGGCAGGAGGAGCTACCGTGTCCAAAGCGTTGGCATTTGTAGCAGCGAAGCGGGTTCGGGACGAAAACTCGGATATCCTTTTTCAGCCAGCCAATCACGATACTTTCCGGCAGAGTGGTGAAGTCGAAAGTGAGGACTAACAGACTCGTGTCACGCCGTTGGCCATCACGGAACGTGGTCAGTCGTCGGATGTGGGTCACCCCGTCCCCTCTAAGTTCGGCCAGGATCTCGTCTTCGGTCATATGGCGGAGTTCGGGAGCGAAAATAGTTCCTTTGCAAGAGTTCCGAGCGTGATGGAGCGAAACGGTGACCTTCTTGCCGCAGAAAGTTGTAGTCTTCAGGAGTGCCTTGGTGTGTTTGCGTGAGTTCGTTTTAATGATCAGAGTACCGTTCGCCGGTGCCTCGATGTCTACATCGCATGGACCGCATATGGCGTCTACCTGTTTTTGTGGCCAGAACACGTTGATCTTCCGGAAGGAAACTTCACTATCGCAAGGCTTAACGACCAGGTAAGAACCGTTCGAAGCTAAGTAAGGCTCGTCAGAAGAGCGATCAGCGGTGGCACAGGCAGGTGAGTAATCAAAGTTCGTGCGCGGGTCAGAGCTCCGGGAGTGGTCGTTGGACGGGCGAGGGTCAGAGATCCGGGCGTGGTCGGCAGACAAGCGAGGGTCGGAGTCCAGGGCGGGGTCAGAGGTCGAGCAAAGGTCAGAGGTCCGGGCGTGGTCGGAGGACGAGCGAGGGTCAGTACCGGGTAGGGCAGCCGAGGGGTGGGTGGAGGAGGGAGGGGTAACGGTTGGGCGGGAGTCGGTTTCCATGGAGGCAGGAGCAGGGTCAGGAGAGGGATTCGAGACGGGAGGAGAGTCGGTGTCAGAGTCGGAACAGGAATCAGAAAGCGGGCGCTGACGGCGCCGCTTCCCCATGATGGGGCAAACGGAAGTTGGGTGTAGGCAGTGAAGGGTCAAGGATGGGAACAGTTGGTATCAACGGGGAAGATAGGAGTGCGTGCGCGAGGAGAGAGCTCAAACAGTACCCGTGAAATGCCAGCAAAATGCTAACGATCACCTTAGCCTGTGATAACAAATAAATTTGTTTTCCCACTTTATCCCTGTTTCATCGCACCTGTGATCCCGGTCCAGCCTGTCCTCGCGGTGGCGCCGCCGGGCGGACGCCGTCAAACTCGTAGTTGCCGTTATTGCCGGCAGGTGTCAGGATAGGCGGCTCGGACGACGTCCAGGCGAAGGTCTCGGATGGAGATGTTTCCGGTTTTGGAGCCTGAGAGGAAAAAAACACAGGGTAACCGGTAAAGCAGCAGCTCGTTGCAGAATGCATTCGAAGTAATGATGATGTAGCACTGGGATATTTCATGCAGCATGCTCCTCATCCCTCGCTCCAGCTCCGATGAGCAAAAGAGATGAAGAGCATGATTTGTGAAGGGCCGCGCAACTTTCAAGTCCATCATTGCAAGCTAAGCTCGATCGTGTAAAATGCAAATTCGAAAACAATAGACTAAAACAGTCGCAAGAATGAATGGTTATATTTGTAATCCACATTTCTTTGACTCATACACTGAGTGACTAAAACTATTAACGAAGCATAAGGATGAATGGTAAGAATTAGATAGTTTTCTTTTTCATAAATTTCGTCCGAACCTTTCGAAAGGAAGAATTCTCAGGGAAACAACCCCCGTAAGCGAAGCTTGTTGTGTTGGCCCTGCCCTCTAACTTCCTTCCTACCTTCTAGGTTGTACCGTACACTTGTGTAAAAATAACATTTTATATTCAAATTCATCAATGACAGTATCTGTCCATTATTATGAAAAAAAACTCAATGAGCCTGCCCCGAGACAGGCATCCTTACCAGCTGCTGTTGCTGTTTTCGCTGTCGTTTCAAGCTATCCGAATCGTAGGCGACTGGACGGAACTCCTTCCTCGTCGAGCCGGGACTCTGCAATCCTGAAATAATATTCACTATGTCAGTTATGTCATCATGCTATGCTATACTTGGTATGTCCTTTAGGTACTATGTCATTCGTTTTTCATCATTTAGTCCTCCATAATTTTCCAATTTGTATTATCAAACACGTTAATTGCTATCATTGCCAGATAACGACTGACTATTGAAATGTTTCCGTTTAACTCTATATTGTCCGGCCTACAACACAACTCCACCTAAATTCCCGCTGTATCATTGTTCACACAGCGCGCGCATATTGTTGGCAAGCTGAACCGTTTACCGTGCTCTAAACACAACTGCGCCATACCGCACACAGTGTGTGAAATTCCATCTCACGTTTACACCGAGATAACGCGTTGCGCAGTAACAAAGGGACCGCTAGGTTTATGCCATGCGATAGCACGGAAGAACGGCACAGTTTATGATGGCCCAAATGGTAAAAACGTGTGGCATGGTCTACCTTGGACATATCCGATTTCAATATGAGCCATGCAAAATGTGGTGCATCCAGGGATGCGGAGCCGTGGAAATTTCAAACGGCTCCGGCTCCGGCTCCGGCTCCGGAGAAAAAAAAAAATCGGCTCCGGCTCCGGCTCCGGCTCCGGGTGAAATGTTATGGCGGCTCCGGCTCCGGCTCCGGCTCCGAGTAAAATGGTCCGGCTCCGGCGACTCCGGCTCCGGCGGCTCCGGCTCCGACTCAGTACATCCCCTATGCAATCAATTAAATACGGGTGGAAGAAAAATTGGATTGGATATACGCGTTACCTACTCTTGCCATGACCGGCTCACCGCGTCCCCGCGCAAACGCACCTCGGAGAGAACTGGCAGAACAAAGGACTAGGAAGCGATGGCATTGGAAACGCAGTCGCCGCGAATCAGAGTTCACTGAACCATCGTAAGCTGACACCCATCTCGGCTGCATTGGGGGGTGGGGGTGGGGGGGGGGAAGAGACGGTGCTGGGAGTCGCAGTCCACTGCACTGGCTTCAAAACAATGGCCGTCACCTGATGACCGGTCCTCATGTTCTGGGGATGCAGTAGACGTGAGGGGGGGGGGGGGGAGGAGCAGACAGGAAGTTGATTGCGTACTGTGGGATACTGGGGATATTCGGCTTTTTCATGCACTTGATGGCCCATGACGTACTATTGGTCTCAAGATAAGGGCCCAGGCGACCTGTAGTTTTGATGCAGTGTGCACCCCTCCTTACCCCCTCACCCCCTTACCCTCGCCACAACTCGGGCCGAGTGCACCCCTCCTCCCAGCCAGCGCCACCCCCACTCGCATTGTGGCGAGGGTGAGGGTATTCACCGCATCAAAACTACAGGTCGCCTGGGCACTTATATTGAGACCAATAGTACGATATGTTTTACTGCCTTGTACTGTCAAACCGAACAAGGTCAATTATTTTTTTCCTCTTCAAAAAATAAAAAGGAGCCGGAATCACCCCGCCCCCTTTTTTGGCGGCTCCGGCTCCGGCTCCGGCTCCGGGCTATATTGTTTCACGGCTCCGGCTCCGGTTCCGGCTCCGGGCAAAATATGCCGGCTCCGGCGGCTCCGGCTCCGGCTCCGGCTCCGGCTCCGCATCCCTGGGTGCATCATATTCTTTTTGAAAGATATTTAAAATATTTTCTTCGTACTGTGATGTGAGTCCACGAACGAGTCTCCGAGTGTAATCTAACCACTTAACCAGTCAAAATTTATTGGCCTGTCACATAGACAGGTACCTATATGATGCATTTGCAGATGCCCGTTTACTAAACTTCTAATTCCAAATATTTCCAGTCAGCCGTAATCTAAATGCAATTGATTGATACATAGTATTTACGAACTCGATTGATGGTTGTTAATTATTACCTTTCGGGGTCCACACCGACTCGTTCGCGAAGTCGGATGGTTTCGGTTCCTTGCTGTAGTTCGTATTTTGACCGCTAGATGTCACTGGTGGCGGCGCAGACCCAGGACGCCATATCGCTAAAAAAAGAAAAAATAGAGCATGAGCATGATATATTCACTTGTTCGCTGAATTGTTCTCATAATTCACCAGCCGGCTTTCACGACGGATGTCTTGCACGTGTGACACTTCAATTTGAATTATTTAGTTGACAGAGGCGTGGCCAGAACATTTGATGAAGGAGGGCAGGATTGGGTGGGCCGGGGAAAGATGGGTTCATAAGCAAAAATATATCCAACTTAATGCCTTATTTTCTTCCACAGTACCTAAGTATAATAAAAAAAGCTGACGGTGAGCTTTGAGGTAAGCTCAAAATAGCATTGCCGGAAAATCCAGTGAATCAAATCCCTTAGCTCAACTGCTATCACCTAAAGCAATGTTTATCTCATCTATGTAGTTAGCAAATACTGTCTGAAAAGCACATGAAACGCATTCAACAGCCTCCATAAACACACAGAACAAGAAACGACTGCCACCGCAGGGCTTCAAAGCAGTGCAGTGTGCAGTGCAACCACGGATCAACGATAGTCAGGACCAGGGTTTTCTGGTCTTCTTCCTGAGTCTTTTTCTGGTCTAAATCTGGTCTAATACGGTTCCTGCTACTCGTTGCGGGTTTGTACAAATGCTCTAGGTAGACAATGCACCGAGTCATGAGCTGCATTGGTAAGCATGATGTCTCAATAATTCAAAACGTCATTTTCTTATTTATTTATGTGAAATGTCTAAGCCGCGCGGTTACCTAATTCACTTTTTTGGCATTCATAAGAATACAAATGTTCATTAACTTAAACATATTCTGGTCACAGAAATAGAGGAGGGAGCAGAGGATAAATATTTTACTTAGAGCGAATGCAAAAAGAAAACGGCATGCCTAAACAAAAGACCAGTCTTCCCTCCCCCTCCCCCTACACACAAACACACAACCGGCCAGGTCGCCGTCGTGACCTGTGAGATAAAGGGTCACAGACTACGAACGACCTGAAGGTCAAGGCTACAGGCATACCTGAGAACGAAAAAGGGTAATGTTCTCATTCAACCTAAGGGCCGTCAATGGACATCACCTCCATTCAACCTAAAGGTAACAAAGGTGATCATCTAGGTACTTCGGACCTTCGCAATTTAGGCCAAAAAAAAATGTCATATGTTTCGCCTCAACTCAACTTTTCAATAATAAAGCTGAAATAATTACAACATCAGGCACCAGTTCTGGAACTCAACTAAAACACGACAAAAGGTGTGACCTCTGTTCGAATTAAAGGCAGAGCAAGGTCACAATCTCTGCTCGACGCATAGCGATCTAAGGGAAAAGCCATCACCTCCGTTTCATTTGAGGGATAGCCCATACACCCTGCCTTACCTGGCTGACTGGATTTCGCCGTAAACTGCGGCAGAATCAGTGTTGAGTCTGCAATCGGCATGGTTGGTCAGCTGGAATGTTACAATTCGTTATTGTTTCCGCTTGACCTTATGTGTCAGCTCGGGACAAAAACAAAACCTCTGGCTTGTAGCGTCCTTGCAACTTATCTCGATAAGAGAAATGGTCGTTTTTATGTCGTGTGCGTAATTTAAATTCACGTTTATAGGTACAGCGATGGTTGTTTTCAATCACTCAGTCACTCGACTCGTCACTCGACAGTCACTCGAAGTCACTCGACAGTTTCCTTGTTATCGATTTCACTGTAGCGTCACTGATCGTCCCTTAGTGACACTGAGTCCGTAGTTATCACAACACGTTACCAAATCAATCGCTGGGTATTAAATTCGTCCCGAGGGTAGTCGGACAGCGCACCGATAGATTCGATACAGTTATGTCCCCTTATATGCGCTGGATGAAAACGCATCCACCACCAGAAAAAACCTGTTCATTATTCAGGGTGCGAAACGGCCTCAACTCCACTCTCTCCGCTGCTTTACCAGCGAAAGACACTTTCTTCCAATGTTTCCTTCTGAAAAGCCACTTCTGGTAACTTATTCTTACTCTTCCCTTCTTCCTTTCCTTATAGCTCTTCTCTCAGTTTCCTTTTCTCGATCATTTGTATTTGCTTCATGTACTGGTCAAATTCGTTGTCTCTTCTTCCTCTCACACAAACGTCTCATTTCGTTTCGAAGAACTCCAATAAATTCACGACCACAGCATAACACGACCTGGAGAATCTATCACCAGTCCTTCACTTTGTTCAGTCAGCGATACCCGAGTCTCTCACCGCACTGGTCAGACACCTCCGTCACTTTACATGTGACCTTACTGTGACGACAGGTGCGAGCCCACTGAATCACCTGTCATCGACGTCACATGACGTCACGTCAAAAGTCACGTCACGTGACCACACCAGAAACGTGCTTTTTCAGTGAAGAACTGTCACAAAGCAAACCACGTGCAGAAATGTCGCTGCCGCGACCGCACGGCTGTAGCACAAAACACTGCTTTACGCCAGCTATAGAACAGAAATGCCTTGTCGACAGCAGGGCTGATAAAAGGCAAACAGACGGGTGAAGGCGAGCATGTGTTTTCTGTCAGCGTGATGTCAAGATGAAACAGCGATTCAATTGTAAGCTGCTTTGAAGGTATTTGGTAGTACGGCGTGGAAAGAATCACATCCGGTTTCTTCGAAGGCGGGCTTTCAATGTCAATGTCACTTGTCAGTCTTTCGCACACCTCAAGCTTCAGTCAGATACACATTTAACCACTTTCAGCAGCTACTCGAAGCTCATTTTACTCTATTGTCCGCCAATCTTAGATACACGCCGAGCCAATTTCAGGTGCAATACCCCTTGCAGCTATATCTTGCGCAATGCTACACTTGGCGTCATTTTAGCCACAAATTCTTCAATCAACTCTTCCACAACTCCCCGCTGTAAGACGCCCACACACACCAGACCTTTCCACCATCTCCAGAATTCATCAACTGCCGACACACCATCTCCCACCCCTGACGAACCTGACGCATGCGTGGCAAACGCGGCGCGGCGCGCGGCGCCGACTCTGGCGCATCGGCGACGCTTGGCGCATCAGCGGCGGCGTCGGGCGCACAGTCAGAAATACATACAAATGGTACGCTTTTAGCTGGCGTCAACATCCTTCACGGATGTCAGGGGCGAGGAGAGAGTGCGGGAGGAGTCGAGAGAGGTGGGGAGGAGTGAGGGAGAGGGGAGACAGGTGTGATGACGGCTGGAAGGTGGGAGGGGTCAGCCAGGGTGAGGGTGTGATGAGAAATTGAGGAAGTGAGTGACAGAGAGAGAGAGAGAGAGAGAGGGGAGAAAGAGAGAGAGAGAGAGAGAGAGAGAGAGAGAGAGAGAGAGAGAGAGAGAGAGAGAGAGAGAGAGAGAGAGAGAGAGAGAGAGAGAGAGGGCAACACGCCAAATGAGAGACTAGGACAGTACACGAAAAGATGGGGACCTAAAGAACTGCGTGAAATAAATGCAATTACAGCAACACTAAATATTTTTGGTAATACCTATACAGGAGTTTAAATCTCATGATAAAAATCATTTCATTGAAACAAATACGCAGCGCATTCTGAGCGACATATGTAAAATTATGTAAAATTACCCAATATTCCCGAGTCCAATCGGGCCCATTATTTATCGTAACACCCCACTGACACCGTTCCGCCATAGTCATTGATAAAGGAAGATGAAGTTTGACACTAATATGACAGTTAACCTGATGAGTGATGACAGTTTATAAATCCCCGCTATTTCCTTATCCTTCATGCCAGACTACCCAAAAGTCATGTATAAAAATAGAAGGGTAGACGGTATAGGGTATATGTAGGGTACCCAAAATGCATTGCTCGACTTTTTGCGGTCGTCTTCTGATTTCTGTGTCAAGGTCGGCTAAATTTGCCCTGTCATTTATTTTTCCGCGACGGAAATGTCATTTTAAGGTCCCATTTGGCCACACATCAGCGTACCTTTTTTAGAGGCTTATTGATGGCAAAATATATCGCTATTCCAACGATCAAAAAGAAATATTCAGGAATTCAGACTGAAAACTAATCACCGCTAAAATCACTGCATATTATCTCAGGAATTCAGCTTACGAACAAGGCAATGACAAAATAACCATATATTGTCTATATTATGATTTATAAGTTGTCTGTGCGTGCGTAATCCGTCATGCCTTATGTGTCTTATTGCGCCTGAAAGGCGCCGCGTATCGACGTGAAATTTGGCATGCCAAATCTGTGGGCGTGGGCGGCCTTTGTATTAAAATTTGGGCGTGATCGCACCAGGGGTGCACCGTCGGCATGCGCTCGCGTGCGCCATAGGGTTAACACGGGAAACGGTCAAATCGAAGATCGGGCGAAAACCGGCCTGCGGCGCCCACTTCCCGGGCCCAAAACTCGGCGACAGATTGCCGTAGCGAGGTGGGGTTGCCACCACTGGATAGAGGAGAGATGGAACTAGCGTATTGACATGGTTTCATAGTATAGCACGCGCCACGTGCAAGACAGCACCCCCGGTTGTGAAAAAATGACCGATTTCGTGCATTGTGGGAAGAAAACCGATGCCGCTGGAAAACGGCTTGACGGAATGAAATCGTTTTTGTATCATTTTGCAGACAAATGTACGTGTAGTGATAGGAAAGCAAATAAAAACTGCTGATCCGTACCATTTCTTTAATATTGAAAAATTAATTTGAAAATTTGATTTGCACGGAGAGCGATGTCCTTTACAACACCAAAACGTATTGAAAACGATGATCAATCGTTATGAAACCTACATATTCGGAAAGAGCATTCTTTTCTGACCAATATCCACCCAAAATATTATCGAAAAGTCAAAAAACTTTTGTGAAAATGACTCAAACACCCGACCGTGTTTTGTTAACGTTACAGGTATTTTTCGACGAAATCGGATCGGTGGCTTCGGCAGGCAGGCCATTGAACCTTTGACAACAAACTGTACCGGAAGGCACCTCTCGCGAGGGGAATTCGCCAGTAAATAAAATAAATTTATTCTTGCAATAACTCAGCCGCTACCGGGCCGATTGTGCTGAATTTTGGGAATGTCAATG